TATATTACATTCTAACAGCCTTCTTTTTAGAAGAAAAAACCTGCAGTACGGCCTATATTCACATGAAGGCTTTGCTGCTGCTTCATATCATTTGGTTTTCATGTCTATCTTCATTGGTAAATTGAATACCTGGGAGAAAGAAGAATCAAATCATTGTTATCTTTATATTTCCATTGCTTCCTACTCAGTGAGAGTTTTAACCAAAGTTTTTTTTTAACGTAAATTATAGAAAAGCCAAATACTGCTTTGCACATGAACAAACAAGCATGGAGAGATGGACACTTAGTGAATGTTTTGGATAAATAGACTTTTTGAAACTGAAAGATAGGGAACTCAAACATTGTTTTGCAGATGATGGGCTAATGGAAAGGTACTTGAAAATGCCTTGGCAAATGGAATTAAAAGATGCATTTATTTAGGTGTATGCAAATAGTTTGATGGTTAGCCTAGGATATGTGACCTTGAATGATATAGCATCTATTACTGAGGTCATAGGTAGAGACCCCATGTGTGTTAGGCATGTCATAGTACATGTTTTCCAAGAACTTTTTGGTGTATCCTCACTGCTTGGATTGTATAGCTAGTAACAGAGGACTGGTGTTAGAATAGACTTTTTTGTTTGCTAGTTGAGAGCACTTTCCCCTAAGGAAAAATTGGATTGGGCTGGAATTAGAGGAGGAAGAAATACATTTTGCCATTTTTTGTGCCCTGAGATAAAGAATTCTCAATAATTAATGCAAATCAATTAGGTCAAGGGGTAGTTCAATTGGAAATGAAGGGTTATCTTCCAGAGAGCCTCTCTAACAAAGTGACAAAGGGGTAAATGGAGAGCAAAAGTGGTGTCAGGACACTAGCATGCCTGCACCCAGCCAGGGCATTGACTGTCTCTATGAATAGGCCTGTTGCTTAGCTCCTTTGAATTTGTTTTCCTCAAAACTAAGGGTTAAATTAAATGATCTCTAGTTGAGCTAAATTGTCGCTGTCCCGCAGCGACGGACTTGGTGCACGGAGCCGATAATAACACGCGTGGACCCTGACTGATGGTTAAAGCCGAAGTTTATTAGGGGCATCAGACTTTATACACTGAGAGTCCATACTGTTTCCCTCTCTTGATTGGAATTCCTTTTGTTTTGTATATTACACCAGGTGTTCTCATTTACATGCTGTTTATACCAAAGGTAGCCATTTGGTTGTTGTCATGCAAATACTGTCCAATGAACTGCAAACCTGTGCTCGTTGACCTTCCAGGCTCACAATGTCCTCCTTAGCTCCTTTGAATTTGTTTTCCTCAAAACTAAGGGTTAAATTAAATGATCTCTAGTTAAGCTAAATGATCTTCGAATTGCCTTCTAGCTAAAGGAATATGTGAGTCATTGTACACAGTAAGTTTTTATGGGTATTGTAACATTTCTTGGCATCTATTGAGTCAAATGTTTTATATTTCTGAAATGTTGAAGTAACAGCTTTTTCACTTCTTCTCTGGGATCATGGCCAATGAGGAGTAAACATCCTTTCCTGACTCCCTAAATGAAGTACTTGGTCAGTGACAATCCTTTTTTTTTCTTCATTTTATCCTTTGAATCTGATCTTGGCCTTGTTTTTGTTTTCTTTAGTGTTTTTGTTTTCTTTACTGATATGTGGTCACTAAAAGTCATTATATTGGCCAAAATGAAATAACTACTTTTAATTTCTCAAATATTTTTGTTGCTGAAAATATGTAAAACTTTGAAAAGTAGATGAGAAAAATCCTCTTTTTTACCCAAAAATAATTAAGATTTAGTCTCTTTCTGTTTTTTCCATTCTAATTTTAAATATAATTTGCATTAAAACTATCTGTACATAGCAGTATGTCAAGCTAGACATAATTTCTGTGGATTCATAAAATTGATAAATAAGGAACACTTTCATTTATCTCCTAAACTACTTGAGGTTTTTTGTTATGGTACTCAGCATCCTGAACTTGAGTTCCTATAGGCTGGCTTGTAGGCCTGTCATGTCTGAGTTTTATAAAGGAGTCTGCTTCCCCAGCGTGGTGCTTTACATACATGCAGTCTTTCATATGAGATGCAGGTGGCCCAGGCTGGGTCGAAATGCTACACCAAACTCTAGCCGAAATTTTTAAAAAATATTTGTGGGTTTGTTTTTGTTGTTCTTTTTGGTTTTGGTTTTGTTTTATTGCAAAGGCAAATTTACACAGAAAAGGAGACAGAGAGAAAAAGATCTTCCATCCACTGGTTTATTCTCCATCCAAGTAGATGCAAAGCCCAGAGCTGAGCCCATCTGAAACCAGGAGCCAGGAGCTTCTTCCAGGTTTCCCATGTGGTTGCAGGGTCCCAAGGCTTTGGGCATCCTGTACTGCTTTCCTAAGCCACAAGCAGGAAGCTAAACAGGAAGCAGGCCCAGCTGCTCTGCTTCTTGTCTGTCTCCTTGCCAGTGTGCCCAAGAAGGCTGCAGAAGATGGGCATGGAATATAGAATTGGTTTCTGCACTCATGTGGAAGACCAGGATAGAATTTCCGACTATATGTCCACTAACTTGACCATGTGGGAGTGAGCTGATGGATGGAAAATCTTTCTCTGTCTCTCCCTTTCTCTTTCACTTTGTGTTTGAAATAAACAAAAACAAGCTTTAGAAAAAATTAACATTTGTAAACAATAATTGAATTCCAGATGTCAGTCTCACTCATGGATTTTTGTTTCTAGGTTTTGTACATACTCCTGAGGACTAATAAGCTGCTTTTTTCCCCCTACTTGATGACATCTTTACCTGATGGAGTGTTAAGGCTGAAATTGATATTAAATTATCAGGATTAGTAAAACTTAGCATAACAGAAAAGGTGTTTCACAGACACACACACACAAATTAGGTCTGTATTTTAAAAGATGCATGAAGACTATATGTTGAAACCTGTTCTTTTCTTTCGCATTTACAAATTCAAGTTTCTCTTCCCAGAAGTAACCACTATCTCTGTTTTTTGTGTCTTAGAATTCAAAGAATTTTAAACCATTGCTATTACAGTAACAGAATTTAAAATAGTGATTAGATTGGATGTTTGGTTCAGCAGTTAAGACGTTGATTGGAATGCCTGTATCCCATGTTGGAGTGCCTGTGTTCAGTTCCTAGCTCTGGTTGTGATTTCGATTTCCTGTACCCTGGGGTAATAAATGATGCTTCGAGTAGTTGTGTCACTGCCACACACGTTGGGAGAACCTGTACTGGGTTTTGGGCTCCTGGCTGTGACTTGGTCCTGCCTTGTAGGCATTTGGACAGTGACTTAGTAAATGGAGAATCTCTTTCTGACACTGTGTCTCTTCTATACTCCATCTGTCTTTCAGATGAATAAAAATGCTTTTAAAATAGTGAATTATAGATATACAAGTAGCTAAAATAATTTCATTGTTTCATTTTTTAAATTGATTTACTTGTTTGAAAATAAGTTAGTGAGAGAGAAAGAGAGGTCTTCCATCTGTTGGTTCACTCCCCAGATGGCTATTATGACCAAGGCACTGCCAGGCTGGAGCCAGAAGACAAGAGCTTCTTCCAGGTCTCACACTTGGGTTGCGGGGGTCAAATATTTTAACCATGTTGCTTTTCCTAGGCTATTAGAAGTTATCCGGATTGGTAGTTGAACAGCTGGGATACACAAACTGGTGACCATATGAGATAACGGCCTTGAAAGTGGCAGCTTTACTGGCTATATACCACAAAGCCAGCTTCGTTTTCATTATTTTAAATAAAGGCCAACTGTGCTTAGATGATTTGATTTTTATTTATCTTGTTGGGAAGTCAGATTTACAGAAAGATGGAGAGACAGAGAGCATGGCCATGACAGCCAGGGCTGAGCCGAATCAAAGCCCACATCTTCTAGGTCTTCCATGTGGGTGCAGGATCCCAAGGTTTTGGGCCATCCTCCACTGTTTTCTCAAGCCATAAGCAGGGAGCTGGATGGGAAGTAGAGCAGCTGGGACATGTGCTGACCCCAAATATGTTATATATTTCTTAGTTTGCATAAATAATGCATTATTTAGAGGTACTTTCTAATAGTTTAATTTTTTTTTTTTTACTAAGTCAAGCAAATTATCAGTTGGGATAGTTTAGCTTGGAATATATAATTAGTTCCTGAATGTGATCTCCCCAAGGTATAATACACTGAATTCATTAGCTAAAAAGTGATAATAAGGTTATCAGTTTAATGTGCTTTTAATAAATTTAGCTTAAGAAATTCCTTATAGGAGATCAAATTACTGTCATAGAATTTGATAAGACTTTTTTTATCGACTGTAATAGTCCAAAAAAACCATTCAGAGCTTCACATGTAATATTTGGAATTATCATAGTATCTATCTCTGAAAGGTGGCTGATATTATTTGGGCTTTACAAATGATAAAACTGAGAATTAGAAAGAGTAAGTAGCTTTCCCAGGATTGGTTATGTAAGGATTATAATCTAACTTTTGTTCACAGAATACCAAAGTCTGTTTTTATATTCAATGCTGAGAAGCTTTTGTGTATAAAGGAGTTCAATTTACTTTGCTTTATTATAAATTAATTTGTCAGGTAATGCAACTTAGCAGTTTTTGTTTAATTTAAAAGGCAATTGAGCACTCCCATCTTCTGATTGACTCCCTAAATAACCGTAACATCCCAGCCCCAGGTGAGGGCCAGCATTCCAGAACTCAGTCTGGTTCTCTAGTACAGGTGGGAAAAGCTCAGTACTTGCATCATCGCTACTGCTCCCAAGGTCTGGTGTTAAACACAGACACTCCAGTGTGATACATAGGTATCATAAATTAAAAGACGAATGTTTGTTCCGTGGGCAGAGCTTTCAGTTTATAATTTTGTGTGGTTGTGATAGAAGTCACTAAATAATTAGTCTGTTGATTATTAAGGGGGAGAATATAGAATTTTTTTATGCTACATATATTGTTAGCCTTACTGCTATATATTGCTGAGCAATTAACTTTCTTAAACTCCAAAATTTGTTTATTTTTATTTTGATAGGGGGATTCCCGAAGTCTTCCATTTCCTGAGAATGTGAGTGCTGTTCAAAAATTAGACTTTTCAGATACAATGGTGCAACAGAAATTGGATGATGTTAAGGATCGAATCAAGAGAGAAATAAGGAAAGAACTGAAAATCAAAGAAGGAGCTGAAAATCTGAGGAAAGTCACAACAGATAAAAAAAGTTTGGCTTATGTAGACAACATTTTGAAGAAATCAAACAAAAAATTGGAAGAGTTACATCACAAGCTACAGGAATTAAATGCACATATCGTTGTGTCAGATCCAGAAGATGTTTCAGGTATCGTATTTTATTTGATGTTTATTTGGTATATTAATAAAATATGTATCATTTAAGATAGTAAGTTGTAACATATACTTTTTGGCTTTTCTGAAAGTATAGCCTCTTTCTTGCAGTTAATATCTCACTTATATTGTTTAAAAGGACAGTTGAGTTGATTAATATAAAAATTGAAACATTTGTTTAGAGATGAATAACTGATATATATTCTCTTATCCCCTAGCAGTAGAACATTACTTACTTATTTTCAGGCATTAAAATGTTGTGTTGAGTCACCACATGCTTTTACCTGATTCATCCTTGTGATCAGCTGCATGAGTGTGCCAGATGACTTTTTAAAGCTAAAAATGTGTTCTGTGAATAAGAGATATTTTTATGGTTTGCAAATGTAATTAATCAACCCCTGACCTTAGTTCTTTGTGCTCTAAGCAACTGAATTAACAAACTATAAGACATATAGTTTAAAAAAGAAAAACGAAAAAGTAAACATCACTTCTCTAGTTTTTTCAAGTGTAGAAAGTAAAAGAGAAATATATTCTAACCTAAAAGCATTATTTTGAAACAATAGAATTTTTCAATATTCAAGTTGGAAAATATCAATAATATACACAATTAAAATGGAAAACATATCTCCTTCTGTATTTAACCTTCTTTCTGGTGCTGACATCATTTTTTGTTACGTATCTTTCCAGAAAAAAATACCATTTTGTGCCAATATCAGTAACTTTTTGCATACATACACACACACACAATGTAAGACACCTTTGGTCTGATAGTTTTGTTCTTGCAAAGATGATATCTTGATTCAGCTAATTTCTGTAAATCTCAGTTTATTTAATTTCAAAAAAAAAGAAGTGGCATGTGGAAAATTATATACCCAGCATCATAAATTTTGGAGAAACCTGGAGCCAGCATTATGATACAGTGGGCTATATTCATTGCTGTGACAGTAACTTCATCTGAGCACAGGTTCAAGTCCTGATTGCTCTACTTCCAATCTAGCTACCTGCTGATGTGCCTGGGAAAACAGCAGAAGATGGCCTGAATGTTTGGGCCTCTGCCACCAACTTGGGAGACCAGGATGGAGTTCTTGCCTCCTGGCCTTTTTGGGGAGTAAACCACAGTTCATGAAAGATGTGTGTTATCTTCTGCGTTTTCTCTGTCACTGTTTCCTTTTCTGCCTTTCTCTTTCTCTGCTACCAAATAAATAAATTTATAACAAAGACTACTCTTGTTAAAAATAGCTGGTAAGAAATTATAGATATAAATAAACTTAGTTTTGATAGTCTCAAAAGCTGTAGAAAATACTTCTAGCTTTCAGTGTACTTGAGAAACTTGTGTTTTGTGTATCTGTTTCACATCTGTGAGTTAGGGTTTTTATTTGGAAGCTTTGTATATGGAGATGTTAATCATGTTAGATTAGTAGAATCTTTTATATGAAGGAAATGGTAACAAATTAGCCTCCGTGTTTTGAACTGAAATAAGCCCAAAGATGAGGTTGTTTTCTCACAATCACTAGTATACTTAAAAAAAAAAAAAATTTAACTCCTTGTTTAGTATTCTACCAACATTCAATAATGACATTATAAATGGAAATATGTATTATGAAAATGCTGTTTTTAGCAATATTATATAAACTTAGAAGTAGCTTGTTCTACTGGAACTCGGCCGAGCTCTACATTTTTTGTCCATTACATCTTTAGGAGAGATCTAAAATAAGAAACAGCAGTGGAACTTTAAACTCCCTTTATTTAGAAAAAGCATTTTCCTCCTCACAGAGTACTAATAACCACTTTGTGATTCATTGGAATATGGGAGAATTTTAGCAATACAAAGAGTAACCCATTGATTTCTCCAGTTCCTTTTTAAAAATTAACTTGTTATGATAAAATTCACATATTTTAAACATACAATTTATTGGTATTGAATGTATATATACACTCAGATAGCCATTATTGCAGTCTAGTCAAAATATTTTTACCACTTAAGTGATTTCTTCTGATAGTTTTCTAATTGATTTTGAATGTCCACCCCTGGCCTCGGAAATCACTGATATGCTTTCTATAATTTTAGATTTTTCTCTTCTATAGTTTCGTTATTAGAAAGACTCCCTTTAAATATTATAAGCAAATTTCTGATGTCTCTCTGAAGCCAGTTTGGATATCACTTGAAATCCTTCCCCAATTTTCTCTGTACATTTTCACTCTTCTGGTATGTTGTGTTGTAACTTATTTCTGTAGTAGTTTGTACTACTTACTAAACATTGTGCTCCATGAGAGCAGGAACATGTTTGTGTTCATCTATTTTCAAGGCTTATTTTAGAACGTGGACTACAGTAGGTGCTTAGTTGTGAATATTGTGTCTCACAAAAAGAAAAAAAGGTCAGCAGATTAGTCTCTCATTTCCTGGATTTCTTATACAGCAGCAGTTTATCATGGCACTTAAGCACTGATGGCTTAAGGAGCAGCATATTAAATCACAGTTTTAGGATAGGAGTGGCACTGCAACTCGGCATGTTAAGCTGTTGCTTAGGATGCCCACGTGCCGTGTGGCTGTGAAGGATGTCTGTGTGTCTCCCTCTATCTCTGTTACTCCACCTTCCAAATAAAAAGACTTATTTATTTGCAAATCAGTGCAACAAAAAGAAACAGACCTTCTATTTGCTTGTTCACTAAAAACCTGCAACAGTTAGGACTAGAAAAGGTCAAAAGCCAAGTGTCAAAAGCTCCATCCACCTTTTCCTCTTTGGGAGCAGGAACCCAAGTGTTTGGGCAGTTATCTACTGCCTCTTAGGTGCGTTAACAGGAAGCTAGATCAGAGAAGGTGAGACTTACTCAGGCACATGTGAGCATCCTTGCGGGCAGTTTAACCAGCAGACCACAGCATGTATCCCTCTGAAGTTTTAATATTGACTCTTCACATAATTGAAAAGTGACTATTCCCTGAAATTTTAAATTTCTTCTGTGACTTCCTAATTCTTCAATATTTTAAAAATAAAACGGGCAACATTATATTTTTATTTTAATTTTTAGAAGTTCTCTTGCACATGGGCATTTTCATACCACCTTATAATAAACTGTAATAGTAGTAGTATTTTACCTGTTGCTGATTTGCCATCATTGAAAGCAGCAGTATGGATAGACAGAGATGTGAATTTTGGCATCAAAAATTAAAAAGTTTGGTGGGGGATAAACAGGATTCAGGTGTGTAGAGTTGAGGTGGGCATTTTGTATAGTGCATGTAACACTGCAGGGACCCATTTATCCCATATCAGTATCTGAGTTCAGGTTCTTTCTCCACTCCTGATTCCAGGTTCCTGCTAATTCACTTCCTGGGAGACAACAGATCATGGCTCAGGTAGTTTGTTTTCAGTCCCTGGCTTTGGTCGTTTCCAACCATGGCTGTTGGAGACATTTCGGGAGTGAACTAGCAAATAAGAGATGTTTGTTTCTGTATCTTTGCCTTTCAGATAATTCTTAAGGAAAATCAATTATTGTATTTGGAAAGCAGAATTACAGAGGTGGGAGGGACTCTAAGATCGATGCTGGATATGTTTGTTCACTCCCTAAATGGTCGGCACTGTCAGGGCAGGACCAGCCAAGAGACAGCAGCTTCTTCTGAGTCTGCTAGGTGGGTGTAGCACTTGCATCTTCCTTGGCTGCCTTCTGAGGCACGTTAACAGGGAGCTGGATAGAAAATGAAGCAGCTGAGACTCACCAGGGCCCATGTTGGATGCTAGCATCACAGGTGCCAGTTTAATCTGGTAAACCACAACAATTGCCCCCAAACTTTAAGAAACTTTGTTTGAGTTAAGGGTTTTTTTTTTAATACAAACTTAAGTTCATACTAGTTTAAAATAATTTGTTGTAATAAAATACAACTGTGAGATCTGTGACATAATTTGTTGGTAATGTTTATTTTCTGATTGATTTTCTCACTTTGACATAAATTTATGTTACATATCTTTGTAACTTAGAAAATAATTGTGTTGCTTATTCTTGTCTGATGGAAATTTATGGCAATAAATGATTAAAGATAGTTCAGTATGGGCTTTAGGCCCATTTGCCATGAAAATTTATGTTTAGCTTAACCTGAATGATATCTTATGCGACACATTACTGATCTCCTTAAAATGGAGTGATATTTTAAGCCTTTAGTTGGTACGCAGGACTCCAAAAGGAAATATTTGAAAAACAACCAGTTTCTTGCCTTAAATTCTGAAATGTATCATCCCTGTAGCAGAAAAGAAATTCTTTGTATCATAATATATATAGCTAATAATTTGTGGAGTTTCAGTCTCTGCTTTTCTCTTTACTTCTAAAACTTCTGATTGTTTTTAAAGGTTTCTTTATTATTTTTATTAGAAAGATTTATAAAGAGACAGAAACAAAGATCTTCCATCTACTGGTTCACTCCAGAAGTAGCTGCAATGGGATTGGTCCCAGTACTTCTGATTTTCATCACATCAGATTCCATCAAATTTGGATTGCTTCTTACTTATTAATTCATTAAATTTTTTCAGTGTCAGTGTTCAGAAGAGAAGTAATGATTTAGTATAGAACTCACCACTAGCCTTTGTTTTGTTTTATTCTTAGATTCTTCCAAATTTCTAAAATGTTATTATCTAGAGGCAGTTTTCTTTCTTGGTGAATATAATTCAAAAAACCATTCCTAGACTTCTTAGAAAAGACACCAAAAGCAAAGGTAATTAAAGCCAAAATGAACAGATGTTCCTACATCAAACTAAAAAGCTTCTGTATAGCAAAGGAAACAATTAACAAAGTGAAGAAGCAACCAATAGAATGGAATGAAATTTTTGCACAATACATAAGTGATAGGGGACTAATGTCCAGAATTTACAGAGAGCTTCAGAAACCCAGGGAGAGTTAAAAAAAAAAAAAAAAATAGAACAACCCTTTAACAAAATGGGCAAAGGAAATGGACGGACATTTTTCAAAAGAACAAATTCAGATGGCTAACAGACATATGAAAAGATGCCC